TGTGGAGATTGAGACCCTGTTGCTAGGTGGGACCATTTGAAACTTTATCTATCAAGAGGGGCGGAAGTGATGTTAAGATTAAAAAGATATCTGTTTTATTAACATGAAAGTATCAAAGGAACAACGAAAAGAATAGCTTTGCAAAAATATTGAAGCTAACTTAGCTTCAACATATTTTTTTTCAATTAACTTAGCTGAAGTCGAATTGAAACAATAAAAGAACTGTGATAAACTTAAGATTATTTAGTTAAAATAAAACGACAATGAAGTTAATATTCATTCCTGTTCTAAATCACAAAGGACCTTATTTTGTCATTGGTAAGGAAAGTAATGATGCTTATAAAATATGGTAAGTACCTGTAGACTTTTTTCTTAGGATATAAAAGTATAATGCGAATATGAAAATGTTCAGAATTAATCAACGAACCGTGATTAACTGTGATTTCATCCTTGATTACTTCAAATCGATTTTAAAGTGCTTATTGTGAATTCGTAACAAAAATAATTACACAGTGAAATTGCGAAGCTTCCCATTTAATTTCTGATTATTGTAAGTACAAGTAAGTTGCGACGGTCGGTAAAATATTATGATTATGAAGTTGCACAATCATACATATATACCTACATATGTACATACATATTTATATAACATTTAAAAGCCCCTAGTCCCTAGTATTATGTTTCTTTAATATAACAGAGACACCGTTTTAAACAATGTTATCTTTCAATCTCAGAATAAATGATTGCCCGATCCATAGACCATTAATGATGGATAAAACGTTCAAAGTTTAAGAAGTTTTGCTATATTTAACGGGGTTCTTGCAATTTCCATTGTTCAAACACTAATTTGTGATAAACCGAGAAAGTTAAAATTGTGATTACCACAGGGCACTGTCATAGGTACTCTATTATAATTAACCTTTAAGAATGGACGCTACGTTTAAACTCAAATTATTTATTGATTGTTAAAATATTATATATAACGAACGCATATATGACGAATCGTTCACTGTATTGAAATCATAATTTTATTATTACGGCATCTCATTCTCTCCGGCAACATTAAATAAATATTTCAGGACACCATTATAGATAAAGTTAATTTGTCACAAATTCAGCAAAGCTTATACCATATACTGATAGACGTCCTTAAAATTTAATACTAGAAAAACACTATGCCCACCACAAAATATTATTTCCAGATTCTACCCAATCTCTCTGGCGCAAAAGGCAGGTCCAGTTCTGACTCATGAAAAAGAGCCTTATTTTTCAAAGTTTCCTTTGCAAATTTTATCACAGATATTTTTTTTATTTAAATTTTGTTAGTATCGAATTTATTTTAATAGGCCTTAGACCAGGCTGTAAAGTCAACCGTTGGCATTTCAATTTGGTTAATTCACCCGAGGGAAAGGTGCACATCACATATTTCAGCAAGTTCTTTCGCTTTACGCAATCGAATCGAAATTTACCAGGCTCGAATTTTTCCGGATTTGATTAAAATGGAATTTCCCAGGTGGTTACGGCTTTCTGTTATCGGTTTAAATAAGCCTTTTTGACAGTCCATCCTAATGGGACAGGCAAAATTGCTTGTTTCGTGGTCTTAGCACAAACTACAGACATGTGCTGTAACTGTAAACTTGTCACCGACTACGTGATTAAATTAATGAATTAAACTTTTATAAGATTCATCTATTAGTCTTTTAGTATTTAGATTTTCAAAAGGGTGATGATTTTGTTTTTAAATTGTTTTATATTAAGAATATTCCATAAAATCCTTTTTAAGCATTTGGATGATTGATTTCATTCTGTCGCAAACAATTCTTACTGGATCTATTGTCTGCATACTCGCTTGCCATATTCTTTCTGAGTTTAATACTGAAATAATTTTTTCAACTAATTGTAATACGACTACGACGTTTGACTCCTGCATCTTAATTCTAAAGAATTGAGAGGAATTAAGAGGCTTGTGATACAAAACTTTCTCTGCACTGAAAGCGTTTCATGTTCTTAATATTTCTTTACACGATGCTTCTTGCAGCATATTTTAGGGTTACTACATTTTACGTGCAAGTAATTTTGGTACTTGTATTTAACTCTTAACATTATTATATATTATAAGTAGTAGATTATCTAGAGTTAAATAGAATTTTTATGAAAAATATGACAAGGGATTGCGGTTGAAATGTAGAATTTATTTGATTATCGTTGGATGTTGAATAAATAACTTTAAGCTGTGGTGGCAGCGTATTACGTCATTTTTTAACCTTTGAATGTAAATTTTTAACGAAGAACAATGTTGACTTGAAAGAATAATACCCTCCTTCTGTTTTGACCTTTTCTTTTTTTTATTTAAGAAATTGGCCAACCTCAGTGCCTACTTAAGATTTAACTTAAATCCTAAAGAAGGAAATATCCGCGTTTTAACGATATACTCGTACAGAAACAACGCGTAAATAAATTATATCGAAACAGTACGGTGAATGTACTTAGATTTATTTAACTAGAATACATGCGATCTTATGCTGGAAGAGAGAAATTTTCACCGAACTCAATAACGTAAGCGACTCAAAAGTCTCGTAAGGTTAAGGATGTATATTAAACTTTTTTATCAGGCAAAATTGCAATTTCGTCACATTCGAGGGCTGAGAAGCAGTGTAGGAGGGCTTAGGTTATTATTTAAGAACGATTCATAAAACATTTAGAGCAGAATTAGAACCAATTTTATGTGAAAGAAAAAAAATGTGAAAGAAAAAAGTCTTGTCTATTATAATGGCTTCGAAATGTATTTGTTCGTTGTCTTCGATAGTTTATGATATATATTTTGTACGATATAATTGTGGTATCATGCCGTGCCGCACGGCACATATATTTTTCGGCCTAAAAAGCTTATATGAACATTAACAAGAAATACTAGTATTTACGGATATTTATTATTAAGCTTTAAAGTGGATGAAATAGCTATCACTGTCCACCACAAGGGTTCTCAGACGTGTACTCTTCTGAATGGTTAAAGTCGTATACCACCATTAATAAGTTGAGTGTATTCGAGTATTAAAGGCCGTGTAATAAATTTCTTTGTAAAATTTGAGATTTCAGAGCGATTGAAATTGCTAAAATATGGAAATTGATTCGTTTCTTCATAACTTCGAATGTGTACATTACCCAATTATTCTAATTACTGTAGATAATTAAATTTTTGAGAAGAATCTGATCAGAACGTTCCAACGTTCTTTAGGAGAAGTGTTAACAAATAAATGGCTGCCGGTTTAAGAGATCCCAATCTTGATATTCGAATATTGCTATGGCTCCCTCTGCGAAACACGTAAACCTTTTGGTGGTTATTTATAAATAGTTTGAAACGTTTTGTTATATATGAAAAAACTACTCAAACCAAGACGTGCTTACTTGAATTTTATAAAGTACCTCAAAGTCAAGTCAAAGTCAAAATTTCTTTATTCAACATAGGCTTATTTCAAAATCCATAAATTTTTTTATGCATCGTCACATGATTTCACGAACCATGGTGACTTACGTGTTCTCCTAGGCCAGAACGGTCATATTGCATATAAATTTTCTTATATATTATGGTACTCGTAAAAAATAAGCGGTTCAAACTTCACCCTACCTTGCGGACACGGGTGACCCCCATGGCCCAAATAGAGTTGTTGTTGTCGGACACCGGTGTCCCCCGTGGCCCAAATGGAACTATATCGGAAATCTTGATGGCGTTCAACGTGTTAAGTATATACTCGTAAATACTCATAAGTATCTAAAAATAGTACAACCATCTAAGTGTGGTAGGGCCAAGCAACAGTGATCACTGTCGCACTAATGGGCAGGTCCGTCCGGGTAAGTACCACGACCTCACACAAGACCTCAGTAAAGTAGGTTACTTCTAGGTTTCATCTGGTGAGTGAGGTAGCCAGTGCCCTCTTTATTTAAAGGTGGTAACGCATTTGCAACCTTACGGATGTTGCAAATGTCCAAATGGAATAAGGTGAACCGCCAGCTCGTTTGCCACTTTATCACATAAAAACCTGATTTCATTCACCAGTCATACAACCTTGACGGAGCTCACAGACTTATCAAATCCGCAATAACCAACTTAGCAGGCTATCGTATGCCAAGCACTTATAAGTCTTTGTCTATACTAATAAACATGTGAAATTAGTTTGTTTGTTTATAGGTTTTCTATGAAGCTAATATTAATAATGAAAAATTATTTGTACCTATAGTATTAAATTAAAGTAAGAATTCAGTTGCAAATGTCAAAAGTTTGACAATGATTTTTCAATTCATCTGTAATTTTATCAGCATCTTAAAATTGCAATATATTTTACATATTATAAGGTTTTCCATCCCTACAAAATCGATAGGAGCAATTTGTTATGATACAAAATACCTATTTATCAAATCTTGAAACTTTAGTATATAATAGAAATGAGGTACAAGGTGTTATGATATAAATGTGCAACAGATTCGCCATACCTATATATGACGGTAATATTTACGTATTTTTGGTGCTTGACATAATTTCGGTGTTAATAAATATTAATATTAAATTTCATAAAATATTTAAATTAATGCCTATTGAATCTTTAAAATGGTTAAATAGAAGTTAATAATTTACTCAACATGATCGGGTCTAGTGTCGTACCTTGGGCGATGCCTTCTTCAAACAAAGTAAAATGTAATTTTTTTTTTCTTTATGCTTTTTGATTGACTATATTTCAAATGAGAATGGAAATAAAATCTGGTAATATACTACAAATTGTACATTTATCGCGGATAAACATAATCTGAATGCCATAGTTTTAACGTAAACTTTTTTTAAAAAATTACCAAGTCTATTCTTTATTTAAAAATATAATGGACAATGAATAAATAAATAAATTCATGGGTGGGTATAATAATGATATGAGGCTGTTCAATTTTTGCAAACCTGTGCTGTTTATAATTACATAAATGTAACAAATCATATGTAAAAATGTAATGAATACCTTTTTCAATATTGTTGTAACAGTGAAGTTCACCAAATGGAGTACACTCACGGACAATTGTGCTTACGGTCGTAAGCCTCTCACCGAACCATCGCGTTAAGTATAATCCAGTATCGCGCGTCACAAGAGGTACAGTCGAGCGAAACATTTTTACAGTGAATTTAATTAACTTTGTTTTATTTTAAAGTCATTCTGTGTATTATATAGAATTAGTTAAGGTGATGGCCAGATAGAATGTACGAATCACCTGTTGTAATATATCTCTGAATGCATGGTTTATAATGGTTCAGACAAAATGAATTGTTTTTATGCATAATTTATATACTGTGTATTAGGTAATGATTTTTAACCATTTATTTGTTATTAGTATAAATTTAAATATTTAGAGAGGAAGATAAATGATCTTTCTCTTAACATTGAAAATCATCCATGAAGTTTTGCAAAACATAGTTACCCGTTTGGTACACAAGCACTTTTAAATTATCACCTGTTTTTATATTAAATATTTCTTTCCTTTTTGTATCATAATATACGTAAATTTTCTGTAATAGTTTCTGTTACTTAAGCAATTACACGTCCTCCGTAATAACATTTTATTTCGTTTAATAATTTAAATGTATTCTGATCTAAATTTAAATATTGAGTTATTTTTGATAAATAGATTTGGAGTATGTCCTCTATTTTACTTGTATATACGTTATCAATCGCTTTAAATCCAGCTTACATCAAGTTAACACGTTCTGTGGGCGACTGTACCTGATAATAAAACTTTGCATTAGATAGCAATACATTAGTCTATCCATCACATCGGATTATCGGTGGCGATGTTTTCGTAAAAGGCACGGAGTCACACAAACAGGCCGCCCTCTGGTGCTGAGAACGTTAATGGCCGAGTAATGGCATTATCTCTAACGTTTATTTATAAAAATGTGTTGTGCTCGTCCCTATCTTAATGGCTTTTTTGTGGACACTACAGCACTAGCAATTACATATGGGGTATTACCCTTCGAGTGGATGCTGGAGTGAAAGTTTAATAACCATACATGTGCATAATGCAGCGTTTCAATTGGTCGTTATAGTCTAACGCCCGGTTTCTAAAAACCCTGATCATCGTAGAAATTAACTAACCAGCTGTCAAATAGCTTTTCAAATGCCATCAGGGTTGCCAGTGGTTAAACTATTTGAATTGAGCACTCTGATTATTAAGATCATTCTGATCAATTCAGAGAGTTTAACATCCTTTTGGCAACTCAAATGACATTTGATAAACCATTTGACAGCTGATTATTATTTATAAACACCGTGACACGAGAATTTTATATATTAGATGGTACGGAACCCTTCGTACGCGAGTTCTACTTGCACCTGTCAGGTTTTTGTTTTTGTAACTGGGTGCAATTTGCAGAAGCATGGGCCAAATCGAAACTTTATGAGCCTGCTAAGTAACGTTTAAGTTGAAAGCGTGCTTAGTAATTAAAACGTTGTAAAGCTTGACAACGGCGAGCTCGGTTGCTAATAGGTTGCAATCAAGTTTACGCTCTCATTTCCTTTGTTTCCAATAAAATATACATTTTATGGTCGACAGTTAATACAAACATTTATCGTTTTCATCGTATTTTCTTTGGTTTCGAGTTTTCTTAGATATTGTAATACAGTGGCTTACACCAATGAGCTATCCCATCTCTCACGGACACACGTGTTTCCTTAAAGAGCGACAAGCTTGCCAGTCAGTCAGAGAAGAGTGATGACTCCGTGCCGCAGTTGCCTAGGTATTGGCTTGTGCGTCGGGGGTCATGGGTCCGATCCCCACACGGGACAACTATTTGTGTGCCCACAGATAGTTGTTACGCATTTGGGTCTTTGTACATGTGAAATTAAGGATGTAAAACGTCCTTCCACCACAGGATAATGTTGTGCTAAATAAAGTAGGGGCAATGCTTTTTCATAAAGAAAATAAATTTTAAAAAAATAGCGTGTTGTTGTTAAATATGAAACTTCATACAGTTTCCGGAGCGGATTAAGTCACAACCGCTTTGTTACACGTCACTGAAAGTTTCAACTAAATCCCCGAACGCGTGCTAGCTGAAGTTACGAGTTTGTGCATTGCTAAAGTGTCGTTGCGGTGTTATTGCGTTAAACGGGAATATTCTATCCACGTATACACTAGTGGTTTAGTGGGATGACTGCGATCTTGAAATCACATCATAAAGTTCTAGTGACTTCTTAATGACTTTGAGATTTTTCTGATTTCTAGCGTGATGTATCACACCCGTAAAATGTTTTTTTTTATGTGAAAAGTTACCAAGCTAGCAGAGGGTTCACCTGATGTTAAGTGAATACTGCCGCCTATGGATATCTGCTATACCCGAGAGTTACAGATGCGCTGACCTTTTGAAAATTGGGCTCCGACCACCTCACTCACCAGACGTAACGCGAAAGTGTTATACTTCCACTTTACGCCGGTCTTCTGTGAGTTTGTGTTATTTATCCGGACGAGCCTGCCCATTCGTGCAACAGCCGAGGCAACTGCGTGGCCCTACCACCTTGAAAATTATCACCTTAATTATGTGTTCGTTACAAGATTCATATGTGGCACATTTGGAATTAGTTGTGAGAAACTTTAACTACTGTATCCCTAACTAAACGATAACTTCAAGTCTACCTTGTCTTACTCGTGATGAATTAATGAATATAAACATATTGTTGTTAATATTACTAAACGCCTGCAGCCCGTTCGCGAACCTTGGTTTGGTTGATTGAAGAAGCCGGACTTTTGAAGTGGGTGCTATAACAATGTCACCCAAAAGAATTACTGCGAAGAGTTATAGTCATACAGTTTTATTAGTTAAAAATAACAAAAATTATGAGTTCTCCGTTTAAATATGTTGCGTTTTATCTCGGTTAATTGTGTAGTTTAAACCGCAGCGATCGTGAAGCGAGCACTAAGTGTTTACGACGCGGCGAATTTGTAAAGGTACCCTTTGACAATTAAAAAGCTGTATTGTGTGCACTTGCTGATAATTTTGTGTTTTCACTTTGAAAACGCTGTTTTCATGCACATATCCAGATCTTTATTATACAGGCTTAACTTTAAGCATACACACTTATCACATCACAGTTAAAAAAAATTAATATCCCCGCAGTTTTAAGCCCTGGCCCCGTAGAACCACTTTAGTAGCCAGAATGAACTTTATTGCTTATATTCAAAAACAAGAAAGACGAAGATAAAAAACGAAAGTCAAATTTACTCGTGTGGTTTCCTCGCGGTCGTGTAAATAAAGGTCGGTTGCCAATTTAAGAAATGTGATCCCTTTATACGTGTAACGTAAACAGAACCTAACTACTTAACATCAAGTAGCATCAAATTGTATTTTCCCTTTCTCCAATGTTACGTTTTTTGGAAAGTCTGACGAATAAAGTATTTAAAATGTACATTAAGTAATTAAAGTTCTTTTAGAAATTGAGCGTAACCGTCTAGCACGTTTAATCAACACAAATTTACAGAAACACGAAAGTTTTCATCGTTTACTAAAAAACATTCGAGATAAAAGTATTATGAATTAATTCGTGTTTGTGTTCCCAGCCAAGCTGTGGTCCAATAGTTATCATATAGGCAATTATTTCAAACAATACCTTTCTTTGGTAATAACAAATTCCCTGGATACATCCGACAATAATTTGTGAAAACGAAGAGCATATTGCATTCTACGGTAACTCAATTTTGATTAAGACTACGTATAAATACAGTGAGCACTTGAGCCTTCCAATATGCAAGGTAAAGCTTCTTTGATAGCAAACCGCATAGAAATTAATTTTGAAATTGCTGTTTGAGCGGTTATTAAGTTTTTTAACGACCAATAACGATTTAATATGGTACTGGGATAACGTGGGTAAGTCGCTCTTGCCGTCGTGAGGTCGCGGGTTCTTTTATATATATTTATATATTTTTCTTTTGTTATATATTTTTGATGGAAATATATCAAAAATCTAATGAATGTTTATGTCCACGGCGATTTTAAAAATTATACTTGGCATTGGACGGTCATTGGATGGTATATAAGTAAATCGATGCTTCGTCTGAGCTACGGTGAAAGTTCGCGCTTCAGTTCGTAGGGCCACGCGGCTGTTGACATCAACCCGGGCTGTTCTTAGCTGTTGCACCAATGGGCAAGTCCATCCAGGTAAGTACCACGACCTCACAGACGACCGGCGTGAAGTGATAGCGTTGTACTTCTGCGTTTCGTCTAATAAGTGAAATAGATATCCGGGGCTCACTTAATTAAAAGGTGGCAACGCATCTGCAACACTGCGGGTGTAGTACATGTCAATGGGCGGTGGTTGTCACTTAACATCAAGTGAACCTACAGCTAGCTTGCCACTTACTCACATAAAAAAACACCGGAAACCTCCATCGAGCGAATGGCTACAGTTTCTACGGCGTGCATTTTAAGCCAAATAACTTCACGTTACAACCGTAAGGAGCGAAATAGCAACCTTAAACAATAATAAAATACGAAGTAACAATAATACAAAGATTCAAAATGCATAAGCATACTCGTGTAGTTACTTCGCGAGTAACTACACGAGTAACACCGAGGGGCACAGTCAGTATAATTATTAATATAAAAATATATACAAAGCCCTGCCAATAGGATCACTTTGTAGATCGCTAGCTTGGTAATAGAGTACATTGGCCACTTTAAACTTATATTAATCCCGCTTCTGTTGAAGTTAACTCATAGCTTAGACTTTGCGACACGTTTGAAAAAAGTTGACAAACAACCTACTCGCAATACATGTTGCATAGTGCGAGTAGGACTGAATTTTGTAAAAAAAAATTATAATAGACTAATATTACGTATTAATTGATTTACGAATTTATTTAAGAGAACAAAGATGTCTTCGATGGTGATTGGATTCACACACGAGGCCAGTATTTGTGTGACCCGCAGATTTTTCACAATTGTTTATGGGTGTTTGTTACCAAGTAGGTTTCACGTCCGATAGCCAACCTGGTTGAAAAAACTTTACGTCCTTCTTTTACATTCGTAGTAGAAGACATCTAACTACATTTATTGGGTGGTGTAAGTGAGAAATTATTTTTGCATGATGCATGTTACAAAAACTGAAAACTTGGACGGGACACTT